CATTAAAAAGGAATATGTTCAGGATATCAGAGATCTTGAGAACTGATTTGAGATGTTAAATATTAGAGGTTTAAGACCCTTTGCTGATGGCTCAAATAGGGCTTTCTCTGATGATGGGTCGTGGTAGAACACTCAGGGGTCACACCATCCGGACTGCAATCACAAAGCAGGGAGCAGGTACTCTGTCCTTCCTCCTCAGGGCCAAGGATTGGGGTGAATGCTTCCCAGTTTAGTGGTCTACCCTTGGGCTGCTTCCAGCCCATGGGAGGAGTGGCTTATCTATCAGTGTGGTCTAGGCAAGTATGACATTTACATGGCCTCCTGTACCTGAAGCAGGCGACTGCACAGAGACCAACTAGAACATATACCATAGACACTCACTTACAGCCTATCCTCAGCCTCTGTGGCCTCTGTGGTCCTCCCTTCTCTATGGAAGTGGAGCTCAGGCAGGATCTACTTCTGGCAGCCCACCCTGTCCCTGCTCTCTCACCTGCACCAAAACCACTGTTCATTGGGAGGGCCAGTTGTTTCCAGCTCAAGAGGAGTGGTGTGTGAGGAGAGCTAGCAGTTAGAACCCTCCTAGAGCCCCACACAGAGTCCAGGTCCAATCTGTTAATGAGGAACCCTGTGTTTGGGATAGTAAACCCTTTACTAGTATCCTGCCCAATGTGGTGGCTCACACCTATAATCCCAGCACTTTGGAAGGCTGAGGCAGGCAGATCACTTGAGGTCAGGAGTTCATGATCAGCCTGGCCAACATGGTAAAACCCTGTCTCTACTAAAAATACAAAACTTAGCCAGGTGTGGTGGCGGGCATCTGTAGTCTCAGCTACTAGGGAGGCTGAGGCAGGAGAATAGCTCGAACCCAGGAGGCAGAGGTTGCAGTGAGCTGACATCGTGCCACTGCACTCCAGCCTAGACAACAGAGTGAGACGCCATCTCGGTGGGGGGGCGGGGAAGAAACCTTTACTAGTATCCTCTTTGTACATTTCCCAATTGGTTAAAACCCCAAGATAAAGAGGGCATGGTTAGCACCAACCCCCAGACTGCCTTTAAACCTGTCTTCAGAGTCAACAAAACCTCCTTGTTTCTTACTATGGGTCATATACATGGCTTGTACATTGATCCCTCTTGAAACGTCATGCTCTGGCAGATTACTACAAAGCAGGTGCCATAAAGTCTCCAGGGACGTGCTGTTCCCTCATAGATTTCAATTTTTACTGAACAAAGTGGATTATGCCTCACACTCTGCACGTTCCACTACCTTATGAGTCATTGTGAAAATCTCATTTAGTCCATTTAGGATTTAGTCCAGGGCTTTGATACAGAGCATGTTGGTTTGTAAGTGTTCTCCTATAAAGGAAAAATAAAGGCATAAGGAATTTTTACTATGGAGTGGAAAACATCATATAGCATAGCATAAAGAATCTTAATTGGGAAAGGAAAATAAAAGTCTGCACAGGATCAGAGGTGCAGCTGTTATGTGTTGACTTGTACTTCTTATCATGAAAATGGGATAGAGCGTCGCCTCACTTGTCCCAGGCTCAGCAAGCTTTATGCACCTTCCAGCAAAGTACAGTCTTGTTAGAAATGCAGACCCTTGGGCTCCACCCGCTGCTGAAGCGGAAGCCTTGTTTTAAGACGACCCCATGTGATTCTTAGTGAATGACACTAATGCTGGAGAAGCCCATCTTCAGAACAGTGCTTTACAAAGTTGAGTGTGCATTCAAATCACGTGAAGGGCTTGTAAGAAACAGATTCCTGGAGTCCCCCCTCAGAGATTCAGTTTGGCAGGCCTTGCTGAAAGCTGATCTCATCTGCCAGTCATCTGCCCATATTTAGCTTTCCCCTGAGCTAGAAACGCAGACTTTAGTTCACATGGCACCTGGTGAATGAAGATATGTCCTTGAGCAGCCCCAGACTGCATACATGGGTGAGCTTCAGTGGGACCTGCCTCAGCAGCAGCACTGGGTGCAGATGGCCAGTACCCTGGGCAAGTTGTCTCTGGAACACAGTGCTGGGCTCAGTCACTCTCCTGGCCACTGCCCTGCAGGCTGGCACAAGGCCCTCTCCCGGCAGACTCCGTTATATCCTGGGGCTCCAGTCCAGTCTAGAAATTGTTAATCAGAGAGACATAGTGTAACTTCTTCTGTATCAGTGCAAAGTCAGGCTCACCTTCCCTGTCTCTGCCCATGGTCTAGTCTCTTCCCCTTGAAGGTCCCTAGCCAGAAAAGGATCAACTAGGGTCCCTTCCCTTGGGAGCCCATCACACCCTTTTATGCTAAATATACTAAGGCTTTCTTTATTTATTTAATTTTTATTTTTTATTGCATTTTAGGTTTTGGGTACATGTGAAAAACATGCAAAATAGTTGCATAGGTACACACGTGGCAGTGTGATTTGCCTTCCTCCTCTTCACCTATATCTGGCATTTCTCCCCAACTCCCCACCCCCCGCTGTCCCTCCCCTATTCCCCCCAACAGACCCCAGTGCGTAGTGCTCCCCTCCCTGTGTCCATGTGTTCTCATTGTTCAACACCCACCTTTGAGTGAGAACAGGCGGTATTTCATTTTCTGTTCTTGTGTCAGTTTGCTGAGAATGATGGTCTCCAGGTTCATCCATGTCCCTACAAAGGACACAAACTCATTGTTTTTGATGGCTGCATGATATGCCATGGTGTAAATATACTAAGGCTTTCTACCGGAGACTTGCTGGGTTGATGCCCAGGTGTACATACCTTTAGATGGGGCTCCTCTGAAGATCACAGCATGACTTTCTAGAATGTCTCTAGCTATAAGTAACAGGAGAAAAACAAACAAGAAAACCCTCACTCTCCCATCAGATGTCACTATCTAATTAACCTTCTTTAAATTTTTAAACAGTTATTTCCGTTCTTATTAAGGCTTTTATTTTTCTTCAGTCCTGAAACTCTCAGCCTGTAACATCTCAAGCTGTATCATTTCTTAATGTTATTTCCAGGGTTAAACTCTTATCACTGGCTATGAGAACCAGTGCATGTGATTTATATAAAAGAGAAATACATGCAGTGAGATAAACACTATCTCTTGAGCCATGATATCTTTCATTGTATCAGCCCACATATTTCATTAATTTTAATTATCTATGCAATTGTAGGCACAAAATTAACAGGTTGACGAGATTGGGGACAATGGACTTTGCATGGTTTGGAAAGATCTGCTTTGGAAAAGTGTGTCTTTTCAACTTGATTTGAATTGGCACACTTTAGAGAAGAAAATGGGAAGACATATTCAGGATCCAGATTATTGTACTTGGTAAAAGCTGAGTTCCCTGGAGGTTTCCAGTCAAGGGCTGGAACACCAGTCAAGGGCTATGCAGAGGAGCAATAAGTGGCCTTTGTAACTCTTAACTGTGAAATTCAGGGAGCATCCTACTGCAGGCAGGCCAAGGCTGAGCACAAGGTGTTCAGAGCCAGTCTATTCAATCATTCTCATTCACTTCCTTGTATAAGATTGGAGGGAGAATATATCCAGGTTTAACCCCAACTAGCTGAAAAAATTCCTGACAAATCCAAAGGCATGACCAAGCTTAGCTCTGGTTGGGGCAAACAGTTAAAACCCAGGTGAGCAGGGCCTGATTTCCTTTTCACTCACTTTTCAAGATGGCTGCTAAAAGCTCCTGAGGCTCCATGATTCCTCTTCCACACTCTTCATGAAAGCAAGGTTCTCTGTTCCAGAGTTCCTAGCAAAAGTCCTCAAGTTAATTGGCCTAGTTGAGATGCTTAGCTAAACTGATTACCACAAATGAGGGGAGGGAAGCTCTAAGTGACTTGGGCCTGGATCAGAGCCCAGCCCCAATCCAGCTCAGGAAACTAGGATGCTCTGATGTAAGACACCCCTTAGCAGTGGAGGTGGGCACGATCCCAGGCAGCCCTCTCCATTGCTACAAACCCAGTCATAACATGGAGAACTAAGAAGCGAGGTTGGAAAGTGTGCAGGATGAAGTGTACTGATATATCATGGCTTTTATCTCCTGTGGAAAGGATAATTCTCAAATCTGCTGCCTTCATCTGTAACCCAAGTGTGGGAATGATTTAGAGAGGTTGAGTCTGTGGGGGAAAAGAATGGTAAGGAGAGATGAAAGAAGCTCTGAGGCCCTCTAGCTTTTGGCTGATAAATACGGTTTGTTTTTTTTTTTCAGAGGAGTGATTTGACTCAGGAACAGCCTCAAATAGCATCTTCATTTATAGTAGCAAGCTGACTAATTTCCTTGAGAATCCATTTAGGGTTTCTGTTACCAAGGTAGGCTTGAAAGTGTAGCTTCAGGTGAGAACACTTACTCACAGATGCTGAAAGTGAGAAATATTATATTTTTATCTCCACGTAATTACTATGTGTATCTTCACAATTCTATATTAATAGAAACATAGGGAGAAAGCATGTACTCATGAACAGGAAATGTATGATCTTACAACATTTTCCATGTATTTATAAAGGAAGGGTGTGTACATGTGTAGAGTAATGACTCTAGAAAACATCTAGAAATATAGATAGGCTTTTGGCAAAGAAGTGACTGCTCTGATTGTTTAGAATAGAGTTGATTGTGAGACCCCAAATAAATATAGCTTAAGAAATACAAAATGAAGCCTGATATCTAGTCCTTAGTTCAGATCTCAAGTGTGTAAGTCATGAATGAATGTTTTTTGGTGGGAATTTATGACAGTGTGCCAGTTTCACAACATGATTTTCTAGGCTTTCAGTTATTTTCTCTTTCAACCATAAGAGCTATTTTAGCCAGTTTTTATTATTACTCTCTTCTGCTTGTCAGTCTGAAAATTTGCATAATGAAAACAGCCAATGTGTGTCATGAATCATTCACGTATAAATCCCGACAAATTCAACACAGGGCTACAAAAACTGGAGAATATAAAAGATGGGTTGGACTTACAAAATAAACACAGTTCACAGATTAAGTAATCACATAATTTACTCCTTGTTTTTTCTGGTGATTTCTTTTTTCAGAACCGAATGGAGGAAAGCAAGGCTCTCTTTAGAACAATTATCACATATCCCTGGTTCCAGAACTCCTCGGTGATTCTGTTCTTAAACAAGAAAGATCTTCTAGAGGAGAAAATCATGTATTCCCATCTAGTTGACTACTTCCCAGAATATGATGGTAAGTCAGTACTCATGCAACAGCTCAGTGAATAGGTTTTGTCTCCAGACAACAATGTGGGAGTTAATGCACTACAGCATACCGTTATTACCCTTGCCCTGTGCAGCCTGCGTGTGGGACTGATACAGTAGAAATTATTGTTTGCCTTGTCTTTTAATGACACAAAACATTTCATTCCTTAATAATGCTAAAAGTCATAGAAAAAGGAACAATCGAGCAGTTTTGACCAATTATGTGTCAGCTGTTATCGTCCCCCCTCTCTCTCTCTGTTTCATCTGGTTACAGTCCACCTCTGCCTCTCCTGTCTCTGGGGAGAGAACACAATTTTGAAGTCAAGAGCCCACCACTGAAATCAGTCTACCCAGGTTCAGATCCCAGTTCTGATACTTCCTATTTGTAGAACTACCATCAAGTTACTTGATTTTTCTGGGCTTTAGGACCAAACTCATGGGATTGTTTTGTATACTGTAGTATGTAACATATGTGCACATTTAGCATGATGCCTGACACATAGGACACAATGAATCCTCAGGAAATACTTCCTTTTTTAAAACTTCTTTAGCCCAATGAAGTCCCACCATCCTTAGTAATAGTAACCAAGTTTTAAGCTCTTTGTACAGCACTTAGAATTTATAGCACTCTCTTTACTACTCCTATGGCTTTGCCTTATTTGCTTTGTTCTTAGAAAAGGATCTTACCCTCCCCAACTAGACTGTGAAATCCTGGACAACTAGACACCCAACCCATTCTGAGAAACACTTGGTGACTGGTAACAAAGTGCAGCCACTCTGTTAAACAAGTGAGAGTCACAACTACTGCCCTAGAAGAGCTGATGTGACCAGGTGTGATTATTCACACCTGTAGTCCCAACACTTTGGGAGACGAAAGTAAGAGGATCACTTGAGCACAGGAGTTCAAGCCCAGCCTGGGCAATGTAACGAGACCTCTTTATATAAAAAATGAGGCAGAATGTCAAGGGTGCAATGAGCCATGATCATGCCACTGTACTCCCGCCTGGGTGATAGGGGTGAAACCCTGTCTCAAAAACAAAAAAAAAAGTTTATTTGGCAAGATAATCACATCTCCCCTTATGGCCCACTACCTGGCTTTATGAATAAAGTTTTATCAAGACATAGCCACACCCATTCATTGTAAACTGTCTATAACCACAACAGCAGAACTGGGTAATTGTGACAGAGATAGAATAGTTGGCAAAGCCTAAAATACTCTCTAGCCCTTTATAGAGAAAATTTGCCAAGCCATGATCTACATAGTAGTTAAGAGCACAAGCTCTGAAAAGTTCCACTTTGCCACTCACCGGCTTTGTTGCCTCAAGACAAATTTATTAACTACTTAGTTTATCCTGGTCAAAAAAGACATGAATGGAGTCATATGTAGATCACACAGCAGAAACCCAAAAGTCTCTACCCTAGCAGTGATGTAACAACAAGAGAAGAGTCTATTTTTTAAATTACATATGGTTATCAACATATGATATCCAGGATGGATATCAGTTCCAATGTTTTTGTACTTCCTAAAAGCTCCCTCAGAAAAGTAATTACTTTAAAAACCAAGATTAAATTTAGCTTCATAGCTTTCTATGATGATACAAACACATCAAGTTTGGAGGTTTAGTCATCTTTTCATCCCACGTGGATGTGGTGCAGTGCTGGCTTGTGAAGGGGAACTGTAACATGTTAAATGAATTGAAGTTCCCTTCTCAAATACATACAAGATGCTGAAGGTTGATGAATTGAAAATAAAAACATTTGGGGATGTTGCCAGATGTTAGAAATGGTATCCTTTTTTGTTAGCAGTGTGTTCATAGCCTCTCTTCAAGGACATTTTCCTTTGTGCTTTACTGTTCTTTTAAAAACACTTTCTCAGTCTAAACAGTGTTTTCTCTTTCACTTCTTTTAATTTGCACTAGCCTGGAAACAAATCATCACTGCCTGAGACTGCACTTCTCAGTGTTGCTCAGGAAACTACGGAATGAGGTGACTGTGTGTGTAGTTAACTTGCTTTTCCACCTCAACAGGCTTCAAACACATCTACCTGAATACAGTAGGCATGAAGCATCTGGCTTAGATCTAAACACATTTGCCTCACACACACACACACACACACATATCTTAATTTTTCTTGAAACTTGCTAAGAATCAGCGTGTGCTTGTGGGCCAACACATTTTCATGTTGTGCTTGCAATACTGGAGCATGCAGAACAAATAGAGCACGGTGCCCATGGAGCTGAACTCCTCTGAGGGGTTCATTCAAGCAAGCTTCTCAGATGCAGCAGACCTAACCACACTTCCCAGTGACTGATTTTTCTGCCATAAAAGACTTAGTCTGTGATCAGTGTTTGCTGTGCTGTTTTTTTGATGTCAGTACCATCTTCCTAATCTCTTCACATACTTCCTTTCTCCAATAATTTCCACAGATTCCCCACCACTACAAGCATTTTCCTTCCAACATGTGCCCATTGTGAATATCTTTAAATCTGAAGATTTTCTTTTTCTCTTACCTTACCCCGTTGTACACATAATACACAGAAGAAACTTGGGCCATGGAAAAAGAAAAGAAGACACTGATTTTGTTACTTAAAAAGCCAGTGTAGCTGTCATTACATGAAACTCCAAGCCCTTATAAGATGAGCAAAGACTGAAAATATTGAGGCCCACTCTGCAGTGATGTTTTTGTAATAAGCATGTTTATAGTATTATAAATTTCTGAATTCCACATTTCTGTACTTACAAGGTCTTAATCATAATGAATACCATTTCTGTATTTCTTTTCAAGAAAGGAAATTACCATTTCCACATGGACTTGAATTGCAAGACTGTTCATAGAGACTGTGGAATTCTGCTCCTGCTGTGATGGCTGTAATGATTTCTTTATAGTGTATATTTATTCAAATAACAATTTATGCTTAAAAATATAACACCTTTCAAGTGCACTTTAGTGAACTTGGATCTAGTTCTAATATTCTGTAGGATAAAAAAAAAAAAAAAAGTTATAGTCCCTTCTTTCCCAAATAGAGTAAGTACAAAATCATATAGAAGTTCATTCATAAGCCAGAAATATAATGTTCTTTTTATGAAATAAGAGACTTCTCCAGCTCTGGCAATCTGTTAGTTTCTGGTTTCAAATATTTTTTATTACTTCTCTGGAATTAATAAGTTAACAGTACATGGAACATTAATTCTATATATATATATATTTGCTTGTATATTTTACATACTGTTTTTAGTTGTACTGTTTTATCTATTAAATATGATGCCAGCCAATCTTAGTCATTAAAAAAAATTGAATTCTGGCACCTATATCAAAAATTCAAACATTACTTTTTTTAATTGTACAAATGAGGATAATCTGTTTGTCTTCATAACTCTTTCCTCCCAACTTCTGGCATTATTGGATATAAGCTTTATAGGAGTAATCTCCAATTTATAAACAGGTTGGTTTGAGAATAATTCAAGTCAGCTGTCTGAAACTCAGGGAGTTTGTTAGAAATGGTAGCCAAGCTCTCGATAGAGTTCTCCAAGATCTCTTTATCACTACTAGTAGGTAACAAGAATATTGATAGAAAAAACCTGCCAGCTGTGGTGGCTGATACCTGTAATCTCAGCACTTTGGGAGGCCGAGGTGGGTGGATCCCTTGAGGCCAGGAATTCGAGACCAGCCTGGCCAATATGGTGAAATCTCGTATCTACTAAAAATATAAAACTTAGCCAGGTATGGTTGGCTGGCGCCTATAGTCCCAGCTACTCAGGAGGCTGAAGCAGGAGAATCACTTGAACCCAGGAGGCAGAGGTTGCATTGAGCCAAGATTACACCACTGCACTCCAGCCTGGGCGACAAAGCTAGACTCTGTCTCCAAAATAAAAAAAAAAGTTTCTTATACACCTAACTGGAAAAAATGGGAGGAAATGCATATATAAAGTGACACAAAGACAAATATATGATAGGTGTCCAATACTTGAAAGACTTGAAAGGTGATGGTGTTTCGATGTTATTAATTTGTAATAAGTTCTAAATTAATGTATGTATCAGGACCTATTAAATACACTTTTAAAACATGTTTGAGATTATTTACATACCATGTAATTCACTTAAAGTGTACAACTCGGTGGGTTTTGATACATTACATTATTAATTTTTTTAATTATGATAAAATATATATATAACTTGCCATATTTACATTTTTAAATGCGCAATTCACTGGCATTACACTCACAATACTGTGCAGCCATCACCAGTATTTTCAGAATGCTTTCACCACCTTATTTAAGCAATACCACCCCATTTCCTTCCTCCCTCTAACCCTTGGGAACCTCTAATCTACTTTCTGTCTTTGTAAATTTACCTATTCTAAGTACCTCATAATGTGTGTAAGTATACGATTGTTATTTTATGTTGGGCTTATTTAGTATAATGTTTTCACAGTTCATGCATATTACAGCATCTATCAGAGCTTTACTCTTTATGACTGAATAATATTCTGCTTCTGATATTCTGATACTCTGTTTGGTTCTGTTTGTTTTGTTTCTCTATCTGTTGATGGACAGTTAGATTGTGTTCACCTTTTGGCTGTTGTTAACAATGCTGCTATTAAAATTGATGTACATTGCTTCTTGCCCTTTTGACTAAGATCAAGTGTCTGTCAGAGCCCCTGCTCTCAGTTCCTTTGGCTGTATACACTGGAGTAGACTAGCTGGGTCGGTCTTATGGTTATTCTATGTTTAGCTTTATGAGGAACCACCGAACTGTTTTCACAGCAGCTGCACATTTGTACATTCCCACAAACAGTGCACAAGAGTTCAAATCTCTCCACATTCTCCGCAACCCTTGTTATTTCACACTTTTTATAGCCATTCTAGTAGTTGTGAAGAGGTATCTCATTATGGTTTTGATTTGCATTTTTCTAAATGATTACCAGTGTTGAACATCTTTTCCTGTGCTTATCGACCATTTGTATATCTTCTTTAGAGATATGTCTGTTCAAGTCTTTTGCCTATTTTTAAATTGGGTTGTTATTGAATTGTAGGAGGTCTTTATATTCTGGATACTAAACCCTTATCAGATGACATGATTTGCAAATATTTTCTCCCATTCTATGTGTTGGGTTTTCACTTTCTTAATAATGGCTTTGGCCAGGTGTGGTGGCTCATGCCTGCAATCCCAGCACTTGGGGAGGATTGCTTGAAGCCAGAAGTTCAAATACCAGTCTGGATGACATAGACACCATCCTTACAAAAAATTTGAAAATTAGGCATGGAGGCACTTACAGTTCCAGCTACTCAGGAGACGAGGATCACTTGAGCCCTGAAGGTTGAGACTGCCGTGAGCCATGATCCTGCCACTACACTGTAGCCTGGGTAGCAGAGCAAGACCCTGTCTAAAAAAAAAAAAAAAGTCCTTGAATACACAAAAGTTTTTAATTTTGATGAAATCCAATTTATTTTTTCTTTTGTGAAAATATGACCTGTGCTGTGGCGTCATATCTAAGAATCCACTGCAAAGTTACATTTTTAGTTTATCTTGCTAGATATATCACAGTCCTTTTTCAAAGCATCTAGGGGAATTCTTGGTACACAAGAGTTTTGTTTTGTTTTTTTTTTTTTTTTGAGATCACTCTGTCACCCAGGCTGGAGTGCAGTGGCATGGTCTCGGCTCACTGCAACCTCTGCCTCCCCAGTTCAAACAATTCTTCTGCCTCAGCCTTGTAGTTGAGACTACAGGCATGTGCCACAATGCCCGGCTAATTTTTATAGTTTCAGTGAAGATAGACTTTCACTATGTTGTCCAGGTTGCTCTTGGACTCATGATCCACCCGCCTCAGCCTCCTAAAGTGCTAGGATTATAGGTGTGAGCCACCACACGTGGCCAAGAGACTCCTTCTTAAATCAGTGTAAGAAAATATAGGCCAGATACGTGGCTCATGGCTGTAAATCCCAGCACTTTGGAAGGCCAAAGTGGGTGAATCACCTGAGATTAGGAGTTCGAGACAAACCTGGCCAACATGTCAAAACCCCATCTCTACTAAAAATACCAAAAATTAGCTAGTGTGATGGCAGGCACATGTAATCCCAGCTGCTTGGGAGGCTGCAAGAGAATCGCTTGAACCTGGGAGGCAGAGGTTGCAGTGAGCCGAGACCATGCCACTGCACTCCAGCCTGGGCCACAGAGTAAGACTCAATTTCAAAAAAATACATAAACCAATTGTTCTATCATCACACATGAACTGAATGCTACACAAATGTAGTGTGCTCACAAATACCAGAAGTCTATGGAAGTGAGACTGCAAAGGCCCATAGTTAGATAGACCTGACCTTACAAACAGGAGTTCTATTCTAAGAGAGAAGTCAATCTGGAAGATGGAAACTCATTCAGAATGTTGGGTCGTTTTGGAGGGCAGATTGACAGGAGAGCCCGAGGCAGCTGTGTCTTTGTGCATATTTATTATATAGCTGAAACCAACATAATTAACTCAGTTGAGCAGAAGTAAGCTATCACTCCCCTCATGAAGAGCCTTCATGGTGGCTTCCTATCAGGGAATCAGAGTGAAGGCCAAGCTAAGAAATAAAAGGCTTGGTGTTCAAGTCATCTGTCTGCTTTCACCTATCCACATTTTGTGAATGTGTGGATGGATAGATGGACAGATGGTCGGTCAGACATACTAGTGTTAGGGAAAATCATTATAACAGATCAAATCTGCAATGCAGTTGTAGGCTTCATGAGCAATGACATAATAAATATTTATTGAACAAATGATAATTGAATGCATTAGCAGATTAGGTAACAAAGTGTCCCTCTTGTCTTTTGGCCAAAAGGACCCCAGAGAGATGCCCAGGCCGCCCGAGAATTTATCCTGAAGATGTTCGTGGACCTGAACCCAGACAGTGACAAAATTATCTACTCCCACTTCACGTGCGCCACAGACACCGAGAACATCCGCTTTGTCTTTGCTGCCGTCAAGGACACCATCCTCCAGTTGAACCTGAAGGAGTACAATCTGGTCTAATTGTGCCTCCTAGACACCCGCCCTGCCCTTCCCTGGTGGGCTATTGAAGATACACAAGAGGGACTGTATTTCTGTGGAAAACAATTTGCATAATACTAATTTATTGCCGTCCTGGACTCTGTGTAAGTGTGTCCACAGAGTTTGTAGTAAATATTATGATTTTATTTAAACTATTCAGAGGAAAAACAGAGGATGCCGAAGTACAGTCCCAGCTCATTTCCTCTTTTTTTTAGGCAAAACCTTGTGACTCAATGTATTTTAAATCCTCAGTCATGCACTCACCAAGATAAGACTTGTTTCTTTCTCTTTCTCTCTCTCTCTCTGTCTCTCTTTTCTAGGGAGCGAAACAAAGCTGATTTCCCTTTTTTTCCCCTCCTAATCCATACCTCCCTGATTTTTTTTCCAGGTTAAAATGGCCTTTATCCTAGTTCCATTCTTGGTCAAGTTTTTCTCTCAAATGATAGTCAGGACACATCATTCGATTTAAGCCATCATTAGCTTAATTTAAGTTTGTAGTTTTTGGTGAAGGATTATATGTATTAATACTGTGGTTTTAAATGTATTGCTCTGGATACACACATAAGTTTCTTTTTTAATAGAATATACTGTCTTGTCTCACTTTGGACTGGGACAATGAATGCCCATCTAACAGTTAAGTGTCATTTCTTTTAGATGTTTACCTTCAGCCATAGCTTGATTGCTCAGAGAAAGGCACAGAAGGCAGGGTCAAAGACACACAGGAGTCCTTTCTTTTGAAATGCCACGTGCCATTATCTTTCCACCCTTCTTTGCTTTTTTTTCACCCTCTCTTTGAATTGCAGATGCCAAAAAAGACGCCAACAGACACTACATTACCCTAATGGCTGCTATCCAGAACCTTTTTATGGGTTGTTCTTAAATTTTTTTTTTTTTTTTTTTTTTGGTTCAAGCTTTTCCTTTCTCTTTTTTCCTTAGTGTTTGGGCCACAATTTTAAAATGACTTTTATTATGGGTATGTGTTGCCAAAGCTGGCTTTTAGTAGTCAAATAAAATGAATAGGAAGAACTTAAAAAATAAAAGCTGGTATCTTAAAATGTAAGAGAGTAAGACTGTGAAGCCTAAAATGAGTGGCTGAGAATGAACCAGAAAAGCCAGTTGCCAAACAGTTGGTAACTGTAAATTCAATTCTCACAGTCCATTCTTTTCTTTGCCTGTAAGATGACATTGTTAGTGTTCATGTCCCTGTTCAGTGTCCAAACCGGCAGTGTAGAAAAGTATCCTGTGTGGTTTATCAGGAAATCTGTGTATGTCTCTTTATCTGAAACCATTTTCACTCTCAGTGGTTCCTTAAGTTCAATTAAGTCTGCCAGGAACACTGGTTGATAGTACTGTTCTAACACCTTTAATTTCCCAAATCTCAAGTTTCTTCTCATTTACCGCGTTTCAAGATCTTCTTGAACTGGTAACTAGTTAGGTTGAACTTAAGATTTGTGGACTTAACTCAAAAGTAACCTCTCAGTGTTCTATAGAACATGTATTTGTGTAACTGAACCTACTAGGAGAAATGTTTGAAATTCTGTATGTGCAATTTTTCAACAAATGCAAAAAAAAAAAAATACAGCACATATACTGAGGAGCTTCTGTCAAGCAGCTTCAGTTGAAATTTGATTTAAGAAAATAAATCATGATTATTTAAAGCTGCTGGGATGTTAGAAATAGGCCTTGATACCGGTCTCATTTTAACTATAGTGGTATTTGGAACTAGTCTAAACTTCCATATAAATCACTCTTTTGGAACAAAGTAGGAGGGAGAAAATTAACGGCCTGTTATTTAAGTACCAAAGCCACCAAACAGTAATGAAATGTTCTCATCCTTGATTCTCTTAGCCTCAAACAACACAGGTTACTTTTTTTTCCCCCTTGCTCAGAAAGCACCTGTAATTTAACAAACAGACTGCCTGTAGGTATAGTGCAATTACAAATGCTCTAATCATTGTACATATATCTCTCTTGAGATTGCAGCATCCATACTGGCTTTGTAATCATTAATTTTTTGGCAGATTGAATGTGCTGTATTGATATGTATCTATGTAATTGTATTGTATGTCTATAGCTAATTCACATTTTGAATAATGTTATTTTATTTACTTTTTTAAGAGAGGAGAATGTAAATTTGTCAGTTTATTTCTGACTAGGGATATTTTCTTTCCATTTAGAAAAGAAGAAAAAAAAACCTTACTGTCGTACAGAGCGGTACTAGCATCGTGCTGTATAAAATCATTTGCACATTCCTGAGTAGAGGTATACTGATTATAAGACCCAAAGGTAATTTCATAGCAAAATACATAAAATCAGTTGGAGCTTTTATACAAACATGGAAACCAACTTTGTAGAACTTTTGCCATTTGATCTAGGATTGGAATATGAGCTTTTATACAATTCATATTCTTATTTGGCATATGCACAGTTTAGTATTACCTCTCTGATGGCCTTTACTAGAAAGGCAGTTTTAGAAGCTATTGTGATCCACTAAGGAAATATTTTAACAGCTAGAGACCACTGCTTGCCTGAAAGGGCGTTCTTAAATTTGGTGCAGCAAAAAAAAAAAAAAAAAGAAAGAAAAAAGTAAACAACAACATTTGAAGGCCTACAGTATGTATAGAGAAAACCTCTTCACAAGATCATAAGTGTTACAGTTTTAGGGAATCAAGATATTCTATTTAATAGAGCTATAGTAGATGTAGTCAATTAAGCCTGATCTCAGAGCTCGAAGAAGCTGAGCAAAACAGGGAAAGATTGTTATATTTGTCTTTATGAAATTGGAATGGAATTTGCTATGCAGAATTAAGGTTTGTGGCTTCACTGTTCCTATAGGGTGCATGACAAGATCCCTTCTCTTGAGAAAGGAAAAAATTGATCACCCTAGCAGCAGTGATGCATATAGAAACCTAATTATAGCCACACTAGTCAATCGAAGCTAAAGGATTTTCTTTTTTGTTTCTTTGGGGTTTTATTGAAGGGGCTAGGGGTGGGACGGGATTCTTTTCAGTTTTGTATAAAAACAAAGTTTACTCATGCTTTATATTATATTGTGATTGCAAGCGTTATAAGCGTGTGCCACTGGCCTCCTATTGTTGATGCTTAGGTATTGGAGGCCTGTGGTGAGTTTTATGGTGACTTGGGCATGTCTTATTCAAAAACAAAAACATAAAACACAGAAACCTTTCTTCAGCATACCAAGGCAAGCAGCCATTTCATGACTCACTTAACACATTGCAGTGTACCAGTTTACAGATGATTTTTCCCTTTTTGCGTGACATGGCAGTTCCAACCCCCAGAGAATTCCTTATTTGTAAATTGGAAGTTTCTACTATGCCTTACAGAGCTTAAATTCAGAAGTTTGTGCCTCATATCTGAAACAAAGGGAAATAACACACCCATTCAAAAGTAAATAAATCTCCTAGAAGTTTTTGGTTTCGTTTTTTAACATTTCCATATAAAGAGCTCTGTTGAATGTCATGTATAGACTGGAAAAAAATCTTAGGAACCTGCATATGTTGTTTACTAGCATATGACAACTACAAAAGGAATTTGAAGAAGACGTGAAACTTGTATTTTATTTTTGGTAGATTAACTAGCAGGCCTGTTTTAAAAAGGTAATTCAGCTAACGGGCAATTTACTTTTTTTGTACTTCAGACTATCTTGATTGTCAAAGTGTACGAACTGTAATTTTAAAATTTATACTGCCACATGATTGTAAATTTTAGTTGTCTTAAGTTAGGATTTGGTGAAAAGCTATTTATGCTGGATTTGGGTCAAAATGACTTATTTGCAAAAAAAAAATAAATAATGGGAAGAAAGGGCTGTATAATGAAATACTGCAAGACTCACATATTGGTTGGAAATTTCCCTCAAATCACCTACCGATTACCCTTGATTTCCCTTTGTTTTCAGTTTATCAAAAAGAACGAATGAAATGAAATATAGCAGAATGTTAACCCATATAAAAATAAAGTGTACCCAAATATTGTAATGTATATTGCTGCTCTTATTCAAATTAAATAAGGGTTTAAAACCACTTAAGTGGTAATCAACATCTCAATTGATACAAATAAGGTGTGCTTGGTATACATTAATATTTTCTTCCAAAGAGATATCTTTGGTTAGAAATACAAAAATTAAAACTAGTAATACTGTATGTTTATCTACATATTTCCAGCATATGTAGCGTTAATAGATCTGTCCTGGTAACTGTCTTAGGGATTTCATTTTGGTTCCATCAAATTAGGAAAAGAAATGGCTTAGTTGTATATGATTAGCTAGAGATTTTTGGAGCCAGACACCTGCTGTTTAGTAGATAACTTAGTACAGAGTCTAAACTTGTCATTTGTTTTTCTCACAAAATAGCCATTTCCTGCTGTCTTCCCAACGATCACTGCCCTTTCAATAACACTCTTGCCTCTAGAATCATATGTTCAAAGTACGAATACACACCTAGCACATAGTAGGTGCTCAAATATTCATTTCCTCCTTGCCTTCCTTATCTACCCTGTGTCCTCCATTTCCCCCCGTATGATTCCAACCCAATAGCAAATGACATTTACATGTTATGAACACATCTATTGGGTAAAATTGGATCTTGGATAAAGAAATTTTGACTTTTATATAAGCTTTTGGTAGACAGAAAAACAGGAAGGTATTCATCGGTAGAACATTTTTAAGTTCAGAAAGGAAAGCTGGAATAGTACTATGTAACTTTGTCCAGGTTACTTTGAAACAAACACATTTTTGGTGGATTTCTTTTCCTCAAAGAATTCTCTAAATGCAACTCCTTGCTGGATTCCTCACCTATCATGTTGGAAACCCTTACTAGACCTATGTATTTAGGGAGTTTTGTCAGAAAACATTTTTAACTTGCAGTATTTAAAAGAATCATATTTACTGTTCTTAAAATGTCATTCAAATGCATGTATTGTCTATTGTTTGGGGATGGGAACTAGTTTTGCAAAAAACACCTAATGTTGTATAATAATGCCCCAATGATCTTGCTGGTTAAAAATACAGTATTTTTGGCCATAATTTTGTACCATAGTATTCTTCATTCTTGAGTTTTGCTTCTGTTGAAGTTGCCCAAGCCTGTCAGAATGCTTCATATTAGCAGGAGTATTGAAATCCATCTTGCCTTCCTTAACACACCTTGTTGTGCAAATGCATATTCCAAAGTAAACAAGTTTAATGGTTTCCAAAAAGAAACATAAACACATACCTTTTCCCTTCTGTGTATAATAAATGTAACAGTCTCCTTTAGTGGAAATATACATATTGGTAGCATTTATCAAATTTGCCCTTTTAAAAAACTTGCCTTAATTTAGGTTATAATAAACTGTTTAAAAATTTAAATAACTGTCCAATAAAGACTTGAAAGTAGCCAGCAATCTTCAATCTGAGGCAGTCTTGTAATCAGTAAAAAGAATCCACACATCTGCCCTGGTTTGCTGGGTAGCCCACTGGGCTCAGGCCAATGCCTGGCTTAAGAGTTTTGCTCATTTGAACACTGGCAGTGAGTGGGTAGACTCCACATGGGAAAAATGACCTGGCACAGGTGTCCTCTGTGATTTTTAGAAACACACATCTAGGCTTTTGAGGTCAGCTAAAAATCAGCTGCTTCTAGGAGTTTTATTAAGTGGAGATAATGGTGGCAAGTGGCTTTCTGGAGAACCGGTGCTTTTGTGGGGACTTCAAACCACAGCAAAAGCAAAACCTGTTCTGTTACTTGTGAGTAAGTCATTCCAACTGGCAGCCAGCCCTTGCATATGGATTTTTGTTTTTCAGAATATGTCCCCTCTAAATACTTAGAGATGAGTGTGTCATTTTTCCTTAGAGGCCTTGGCGTTCCTTGCATGATTTAGAGACCATTTTCAGTAGATGGTGTCCTCTCTCTGTGTCTTACTGTTTAGGGAATGGCATGGCACTGACTCATCTAGCACAGCCCACACCCTATTTCCACAGAGACTGGAGTCTTAAGCTACACACGAGCGCTCCCCTCTCTGGCCTTCTGACCTAAGCTTGACCCCTTTAGGACCAAGATCTGTCTGTATCATCCCAGAGACCCCCACCCAGAGAAAAAAAAAACACAATCTTGCTGAAAACTCATTGGGCCAAATATTTTAACTTGACTTTCTGGCTCATAGAGCAAGCCCATACTATCTGATTGTTTTCTGTCCTTTCTGGAAGCAATAACAAAATAGTTGGCTCAAAAGTGTCTCTGCTTTACTCCCCATTTTTCCTGCCTTCTCACATTTGTCTCTCAGACTGTGATACCCTGGTGCTGCCTCTTGAGAGACAATTAAACCATAGCAGAAAGGTGGAACTTGATGCTAAGGACAACCAGTACACTGGGTAATGTGTGCAGAGCAACTTCAGAGGGTAAACTAGCCTGTTTCTCACTTTTCTCTTGTCTAATTTCAAATGATTATCATACTCACGAGTTTCTCCATATTTAAAGCCTTATTGAAATTTGGTCAGGGGTGGAGAGTGAAAGACAGTGATTAGGAGCGGCTTTCTGGCTGATTTGTTTTAAATTACGCATTATTACCATTTTTTTGTTTCATTGCCGTGGCTAACTAAAGAACTATACCCAGTCCATTTTAAGGGAGTCCCATAGGTTCCTGCAAAACAAGACTCTGGTTATAAAATGTAGGTCTCTTTACAATCTAAGATGCATAAGTACTAAAGATAAAATGCGTAAGTACTGAAAAGATTATTTTCCCTTTGAATTCTTATTTATGCCTCATGACTATTGAAATTTGATCTCTGTTGATGTTTCTCTCTTCCTGTTTTCCTCAATAATGCAAAGACCAGAATGTATTTCTGTCTCATAAGCTTGGGGATAAAATAAGGCAACTTACCCTCTAGGCAGGCCTCCTTCTCTTTTAGCCCTAGAAAAGATGTTTTTGCAGCTCAGGAGATGAGGCCCATCTCCTAGAGATAGACTGCTTAAAGGGCCCTGGGGACTGACTGTCCATCTGCTTCCAGTTTGTTCCGTATGCCTGTATGTTGGGTCTTAAAAGCATCTTGAAAACAAGGTCTGCAAATGGAGATTCCACATTGTGTCCAGCTGCCAGGAAGCTAGTGTAGCTGCTGACAAGACTGTGTGTCTGCCCTGAGGTAAGCCTCAACTAGAAGGGCATATCTTTTGGGAATCCTGGCACCACCTGCCAACATATTGTTGAGTCAGGACACCATCCCACCACACCCAATGTGAAGCTTTCCAATGTGATGTCACTGAATTCAGAGTTGAGAAAAGATGTTGACACCTGGCTCTCAAGATGCCCTTCGTGCCACTCTCAGGTCCTTTAGGTGATGCCTTTCTGTAAACCTGGAGAGTGTCAGCAGGACAGGACACCTCTGCTTACTGCACTGGAAGAATATGCATTCCTTCCCCTGTGATTTTGAGCCAATGACCAAAAAGCAAACTGGCCCCCTGCCCATTATGGGCACTGGCAAGTGACAGCTCTGCCGGAAATATAAAATATTTAAACTCGAATCCGTTTGGGCAGCAGATTTACCTAACACTTGCCGCGTGTGTGTGTGTGTGTGTGTGTGTGTGTGTGTGTGTGTGTGTGTATTTAATGTCTTGGCATCTCCAACCGACTCAATCATTGAACAAAGGAAAAGCCCACACCAATGTTCACGTCAGTTGGGTAAAGTCAATCCTAGTATTTTTAAAAACAATCTCTACACATACGTGGGTACACATGTAAAATCTCAAAATGGTTTTATCTTGTTGACACTGATAGACACACACAAATATCTGCACATCTAAACAGTGAGGCTTGCTTATCCCTATAGTTACTATAAGCATTTTATCTCATGGAAGGTAATTAATCATATTGACATGATTAAGACTAAAAGTATCATAAAACCCACAGCTCACGTTTCTTTTTTAAAAACTATTCTCTCACCACTTTTTCTAGGTGCTGACTTTTCAAAACTCTGCCTTAATCTAGGAAAGAATACCTAATTATGGCACATTTTTAAAAAAGAAGCTAAAGGACAGTTGAACTTAGACTGGGGCTTCATTGTCTCTGAGCAATGAAGGGATGTATTTCCAGCAGACAGGAAGAGTCTCAGATCAGGTACAAAAGCTGGATGGAATGTCTGTCTCATTACAAAAGCCACATATCAGGTACACACTTCCTGTAGATGTTATCGTTTGCATTCCTGAATTAAGTCTTCTTTGTGGTGTAGATTGCTTAATTCCTACTACAGATGATGAACTGCCAGAACACCAGGCACCTACTGCACATCTTGTACAGAACTACAAACTCAGAGTTTGGGGACTGTTCTTGTGTCATTTACTCTTTAACCTGCTGGAGGTGCCTTGCTGCACATTCCATATCCACTGGTCCACCCAGGGGGTTGCTGCAGGCAGTTCAGAGCAGGAGACCCCTGTACCCTTCTAGCATTCTATGGCCACCAGCCAAAAACCAGGAGTTGATGCCTCAAGAGTGACATGACGGGCAAGGGACAGGGATCCGTGGATGCACACTTTGGCTGTTGGCCCTCAGTAGGTAAACCTGAGGTTCGTCCTACAAGTCTCTCTAGGTCCCACGGAGCAGGACTCAGCCCCAGCTGCTGTCAGTGGAACTCAGTCACGAATATACCGTTTATCGGCTTTTCTCTGCCGGTGGTCTCACTTGTGTACTATCTCGCACAGTGCTTTATAGCATCACTTCTCAAACTCTGTGTACCTAAACCCCTTACACAGGATCTACTTCGGGGAAAATCTCAGCTAAGACAGTGAGGATCAGCAGATGGCTTTCATTGTCAAGGACAATGAAAATGGGATAATCAATAGGTCATAAATGAGGCTAGTAAACACTCTGCCTTGGACTCCCAACTGCAGCTGATGGTTGAGGTTCAAGATTAGCACCTGGAACCCTAACATAATATGAATTTGCCACAAAGGCCCACAGTGGGAGATTTTGTGGAGAGAGATATAGACATTGATACCTAGACACACACACACACACACGTACTAATACAATCTATACAATGTGATACAACCTATTCAATACAAGTCTACGTAATAATAGTATATTTATGAAAAAATATACATTTCTTTTTTTTTTTTTTTTTTTGAGACAGAGTTTCGCTCGTTACCCAGGCTGGAGTGCAATGGCACGTTCTCAGCTCACCGCAACCTCCACCTCCTGTACATTTCTTAAAAGTTACTTCCAGAGGCCAGGCACAGTGGCTCACGCCTGTAATCCAAGCACTTTAGGAGGCCAAGGTGGGTGGATCGCTTGAGGTCAGGAGTTTGAGACCAGCCTGGTCAACATGGTGAAACCTCATCTCTACTAAAAATACAAAAATTATCTGGGCATTGTGGCTCATGCATGTAATCCCAGCTACTTGGGAGGCTGAAGCAGGAGAACCCCTTGAACCTGGGAGGCAAAGGTTGTAGTGGGCCAAGATCGTGCCACTGCACTCCAGCCTGGGTGACAGAGTGAAACTCTGTCCCCCCCCCGCAAAAAAAATAGTTACTTCTACAGCATTTTAAAGAGATAAGCTAAATAGTTCATAATCATTATTTTAGAGGTGGAGGAGGGGGGTCTTACCATGTTGCCCAGGTTGGCCTTGAACTCCTGGCCTCAAGCAATCTTCCCAGGAACTTGGTGTCCCCGGTAGTTGGGACTACAGGCATGCACCACTTCACTCAGCTAACAGTAACTTTTAATTGTTGAAGATAAGTGACTTAGACATTTTCACTCTACTCTCATCTTTTGAGAGGGACCCTATACTCCCTTCCTCCACCTGCCCAGCACTGGCCATTGACTCCCAGATGAGCACCACACCAGCCCTGAGTAATCGATTCCAGATGCTCAGATCGGCTGCCTCCTGGGAGACACGCCTGCACTTTCATTCTTCCTCCTCAGACCAGAGGATGGTGCGCTGACATAGAGGCAAAAAGGAACAAAGAAAGAATCTTCCATCAGAGAATTGGCACATATGGTGACATTTAATCATTGAGAGAAAATTGGAGAAGAGAGACCATGTATTTGAAACTATCACAAAAGTAAAGGAGCATTATCTGGACCATGTTTTGAGAAAGACTATCTGCCTTAGAAGAAGGAGGAGAATAAAGAGGGAGAAGCGGGGGAGGGGAATGAGGAGGAGGGGGAGAGGGCGGAGGAAGAGGAGAGGGAGGAGGGGGAGAGGAAGGAGGAGGAAGGGAGAGGAAGGAGGAGGAAGGGAGAGGGAGGAGGAGGGGGAGAGGGAGGTGGTGGGGGAGAGGGAGGAGAGGAAGGGGGAGAGGGAGGAGAGGAAGGGGGAGAGGGAGGAGAGGAAGGGGAGGAGGAGGGAGAAGAAGGAAGAAGAAAAACTTTCTCTGATTTTTTATGGCTGGTAAAAGATGTCCTTAGGAAAAACAAATGAAGGAGACTATGTTGCAAAGCTTGATGAAACAGGACTTTAGAAACACGTCTTTAGAATGAGAAGCTCTCTGCTGATGCAAAAAATCTATTAGGACGCTATTTTACTACTAACGGCTGAATATATTTTTCTAAAATATGTTGGAATATTCTGAAACTGTATTTAACTGTCTACTTTATTAACTAAGTTATTTGAGTAGATTGTGAAGGAATCAGCTTTTGAGTGCAGGCTGCATGTTTGTATATTTTGAGATGGTCCCCAGCTAAAAAAAATTGTATTCAAACCCAAATTGCATTCAAAACCAAATGCCCTCGAGAGAAATTATTTTCCTAGATCCTAATCTATTGGGATTTCATCAGAGCCTAACCAACCTATGAGAAAGGAAATACCCAACTCCAGCTCCCTCTAGCTTTTGCTTTCCCCATGGGAGAAGCAGAGTACCAAACACCAGTCTCCTCCAGCCATCTTGTCCTGTGTAAGGCAGGAAAAAACTCAGAGCCACCTGTGAAGTCCATGGCCCAGGGGCACAGGCTTATTACAAGACTGTGCTTCATCACAGGACTGTAGAATACTTTCCCTCCCTCAGACCTTACCACTAATTACTGAAGGCCTATTTACTGCATTTCCTTTCATCCAGTACATCATATCCAGCTTTAAACATTACAAAGCATACTAAAAGACAAAAAGAAAACACAGTTTGAAGAGACATAGCGAGCATCAGAGCCAGGCCCAGATATGGCAGGGATGCTGGAATTTTTAGAGCAGGAATTTAAAACAGTTATGATTAATCTGCTGGGGGCTCTAATGGAAAAAGCAGACAACCTGCAAGAACAAATGGGAAATGAAAATGTAGAGGCAGAAATTCTAAGAAAAAATAAAAGGAGGGCAGCGGCGGCGGCGAGAGCTGACTGGGGCGTCCGCTAGGCTCGGACGGCCTGCTGAGCCTCCCAACCCGCTTCTGTAAGGCTTTGCCTTTCCAACTTCAGCTACAGTGTTAGCTAAGTTTGGAAAGAAGGAAAAAGGAAAATCCCCGGCCCCTTTTCTTTTGTGGTTTGCCAAAGTCGTTGTAGTCTTTTTGCCCAAGTCTGTTGTGTTTTTAGAGGTGTTATCTCCAGCTCCTTGCACTCCTGTTAACAAGCACCTCAGCGAGAGCAGCAGCAGCAGCGATAGCAGCCACCGAAGAGCCAGCAGGGTCGCCCAGTGTCATGACCAGGGCAGGAGAACACAACCGCCAGAGAGGATGCTGTGGATCCCTGGCCGACTACCTGACCTCTGCAAAATTCCTTCTCTACCTTGGTCATTTTCTCTCCACTTGGGTTAGGAGGTCAGACTTGCCAGAAAATGAGCGGCACTGTGGTGGTTCCAGGAGGATACTTTGTCATGTTAATTAAAAGTCTCACAAGAAAGGTGACAGATGCTTATCCCAACTTTACAGGAGATCGGATGTGGCACTTTGCTGTGTCTGTGTTTCTGGTAGAGCTCTATGGAAACAGCCTCCTTTTGACAGCAGTCTACGGGCTGGTGGTGGCAGGGTCTGTTCTGGTCCTGGGAGCCATCCACTGGGTGGATAAGAATGCTAGACTTAAAGTGGCCCAGACCTCACTGGTGGTACAGAATGTTTCAGTCATCCTGTGTGGAATCATCCTGATGATGGTTTTCTTACATAAACACGAGCTTCTTACCATGTACCATGGATGCGTTTTCACTTCCTACTATATCCTGATCATCACTATTGCAAATATTGCAAATTTGGCCACTACTGCTACTGCAATCACAATCCAAAGGGATTGGATTGTTGTTGCAGGAGAAGACAGAAGCAAACTCGCAAATATGAATGCCACAATACGAAGGATTGACCAGTTAACCAACATCTTGGCCCCAATGGCTGTTGGCCAGATTATGACATTTGGCTCCCCAGTCATTGGCTGTGGTTTTATTTCGGGATGGAACTTGGTATCCATGTGCGTGGAGTACTTTCTGCTCTGGAAGGTTTACCAGAAAACCCCTGCTCTAGCTGTGAAAGCTGCTCTTAAAGAAGAGGAAACTGAATTGAAACAGCTGAATTTACACAAAGATACTGAGCCGAAACCCATGGAGGGAACTCATCTAATGGATGTGAAAGGCTCTGACATCCATGAGCTTGAACATGAGCTAGAGCCTACTTGTGCCTCCCAGATGGCTGAGCCCTTTCGTACCTTCCGAGATGGATGGATCTCCTACTACAACCAGCCCGTGTTTCTGGCTGGCATGGGTCTTGCTTTCCTTTATATGACTGTCCTGGGCTTCGACTACATCACCACAGGGTACGCCTATACTCAGGGACTGAGTGGTTCAATCCTCAGTATTTTGATGGGAGCATCAGCTATAACTGGAATAATGGGAACTGTGGCTTTCACTTGGCTACGTCGAAAATGTGGTTTGGTTCGGACAGGTCTGATCTCAGGATTGGCACAGCTTTCCTGTTTAATCTTGTGTGTGATCTCTGTATTCATGCCTGGAAGCCCCTTGGACTTGCCCGTTTCTCCTTTTGAAGATATCCAATCAAGGTTCATTCAAGGAGAGTCAATTACACCTACCAAGATACCTGAAACCATTACTACAACTGAAATACACATGTCTAACGGGTCTAATTCTGCTAATATTGTCCCAGAGACCAGTGCTGAATCTGTGCCCATAATCTCCGTCAGTCTGCTGTTTGCAGGCATCATTGCTGCTAGAATCGGTCTTTGGTCCTTTGATTTAACTGTAACACAGTTGCTGCAAGAAAATGTAATTGAATCTGGAAGAGGCATTATAAATGGTGTACAGAACTCCATGAACTATCTTCTTGATCTTTTGCATTTCATCATGGTCATCCTGGCTCCAAATCCTGAAGCTTTTGGCTTGCTCGTATTGATTTCAGTCTCCTTTGTGGCAATGGGCCACATTATGTATTTCCGCTTTGCCCAAAATACTCTGGGAAACAAGCTCTTTGCTTGCGGTCCTGATGCAAAAGAAGTTAGGAAAGAAAATCAAGCGAGTACTTCTGTTGTTTGAGACAGTTAACCGTTGCTATCCTGTTACTAAATTGTATAGAGCACATGTGCTTATTTTGTACTGCAGAATTCCAATAAATGACTGGGTATTTCTCTCTTTAAAAAAAAAAAAAAGAAAGAAAGAAAAAAGAAAAGGAATAACAGAGATCAAAAACATTGTAATAAAAATTAAGTATGCATTCAATGGCCTTGTTAGGAGACTGGACATGGCTGAGGAAACAAGCTCTGAGCCGGAATATATGTCAATAGAAACTTCCAAAACCGAAAAGCGGAGAGAAAAAAAACACTGAAAAACAAAAACAAAGGGTTCGTATTGGGATAATAAAAATCCTGAAACTCAGATAGTAGTGTCTTTTTCTGTTTTTTGGTACAACGCCACCCTAAGAAGAACTAAAAAGCCGAACACACTGAAAAATCAACAACTCTTCTTAGATCCCTCAGACAAGTGAAGTCACAGGGCAAATCGTTGTCCTCAAATGGGAGAGACAGGCAAATACAGAGAATCACTACTTACTGAAGCAGAAACCCAGGAGAAAAGGCCTCTACCAAAACCAGCACCAGGATACAAAAACCTAAACAGTAACTGACACATTTGGAAGGTTCAATCTGTATAAGTCTGAGAGTTGAACTCCAGATGATCCAGTCATGGGAGACCCTCATACTTTGGTGAGTTTTAACTCCAGGAGCTCAAGCAGGCTCTCACAGTGAATATCAGGGGACCATCCCCTCATGCTCCTGGTAGAAGGAAGGGGAAATGAAGCATTTTGAAATACACCAGGCCATCCTGTTTGTCTTAACAAAGCCTGTCCTCAAGAGAAACTTTTCACAAGAGCATAAACTATTGGAGTTTTATCAGAGTCTAACCAACCTGGGGAAAGGGAAATACCCAACTGTAGCACACACTGGCCATCCTGTCCTGCTGAAGGAGGGGAAGAAGACTGAGAAAATTCAGCATCCAGAGAAATAGACTCTCCACAAGACTGACAGTCATAGGAACATACAAAGCCTCCTCTTTCCCCATGTTACTAAAGGTCTATGCAGCAGCTCCTTTCATCCACTGCATTGTAAACAGTTATCAAGAAAAAAGTAACAAGGCATACTAGAAGGCAAAAAACACACAGTGTGAAGTGACAGAGCAAATAAGATAAGACTCAAGTATGTCAGGGATGGTGAAATTCTCAGAGTAGAAATTTAAAACAACTATAATATGCTAAGGACTCTGGTGGATAGAGTAGACAGTGTGCAAGAACAAGAACAGACAGGAAATAAAGGCAGAGAGACAAATTCCAAGAAAGAATGAAAAGCAAGTGATAGAGATTTAAAAACCACAGAAATAAAGAATGCCTTTTAATAGTAGGCTGGACATAGATGAGGAAAAATGCAGAGTTTAAGAATATCTCAATAGAAACTTCCAAAGCTGATAAGAACAACAAAATGCTAAGAACAAAAGAACAGAATATCCTAGATCTGTGGGGGAACTACAAAAGTGATAACATAGGCATTATGAGGATACCATAAGGAGAATAGAGAAAGAAAATAACTTTTTAAAGTCACAATGACTAATATTTCCTCATTTTCTGCAAATTAATGTTAGACACCAAACCACAGATCTAACAAGCTCAGAGAACATCAAGCACAATAAATGGCAAAAAAAAATCACATCCACACATCCCCCACACCCACACACACCCACACATCCACACACATCTACATACACAAATGCACACACACATCCACACACACAAATCCACATACATACATACGTACACACACACATGCACATACACTGCCACCTACAGCAATCACTGAAAAAACTATTCAGAGAGATATATTTAAAAACACTATAGATAAATAAAAATGGAATTCTAAAACATGCTCAAGTAATTTATAAGAATGCAATGAAAAGGTCAGGTGCAGTGGCTCCCCCTATAATCTCAGCATATTGGGGGGCTAAGGCAGGCAGATCACCTGAGGTCAGGAGTTTGAGACCAGTTTGGCCAACATGGTGAAACACATCTCTACTAAAAATACAAAAATTAGCCAGGTATGGTGGAGGGCACCTGAAATTCCAGCTACTGGGGAGACTGAGGCAGGAGAATCATTTGAACCCAAAGGCGGAAATTGCAGTGAGCTGAGATCACACCACTGTGCTCTAGCCTGGGTGATAAAGGAAGACTCTGTCTTAAAAAAAAAAAAAAAAAAAAAAAGAAAGAAAAGAAAAGAAAGAATGTAGAGAAATAAAAACCAAAGAGAATAAACAGAAAACAACAACAAAAAAAAGGCACACTTAAACCCTAACATATCAATAATTATATTAAATGTACACCAAATATACCAAGTTAAAAAAACAGAAGTAGTCTCTACAAGAAACATATTTCAAACATAATGATGTAGACAACTTAAAAGAAAAAAGATGGAAAAAGATATACTAATCAAACATTAATCAAAGGAAAGCAGGAATAACTGTATTAACATTAGACTAAGTAGACTTCACAGCAAAGAGAATTACTATAGATAGATAGGGACACAATATAATGATAAAGGATCAGTTCACTAAGAAGACATAGCAGTCCTAAATGTGTATGCACCAAACAAAGTTGAAAATATGTAAGGCAAAAAATAGAACTGAAAGGAGAAATGGGCAAATCCACAAGTATAATTGGAGATACCAAAACCCTTCTCTCAACAGTTGGTGCAAAAACTAGACAGAAAGTCGGCTGGGCACAGTGGCTCATGCCTGTAATCTCAGCACTTTGGGAGGCCGAGGTGGGTAAATCACTTGCGGTCAGGAGTTCGAGACCAGCCTGGACAACATGGCGAAACCTTGTCTCCACGAAAAATACAAAAATTAGCTGGGCGTGGTGGCGCATGCCTATAATCCCAGCTACTCGAAAGGCTGAGGCAGGAGAATTGCTTTAACCCAGGAGACAGAAGTTGCAGTGAGCCAAGACTGTGCCACTGCACCCTAGCCTGGGTGGCAGAGCAGCATCAAGACTCCATCTCAAAACATATAAACAAAAAACTAGTCAGAAAATCAGCCAGGATGTATAAGAATTCAACAATAGGATCCTAACATTTATAGAATATTCGACCCAATAACAGTAGAACACATTCTTCTCCAAGCATCTACAGACCACATACCAAGATAGACCATATCCTGGGCAATAAAACAAATCTCAACAAATTTAAAAGAACTGAAATCACACAGAGTGCAATCCTGAACTGCAATGGAATCAAACTAGAAATCAGTAACAGAAAGTAGCAGGAAAACCTCCACGCACTTGGAAATTAATGGGCATACTTCTAAATAATCCATGGGTCAAAGAGGAAGCCTCAAAGAAAATTTCAAAATACACTGCACTGAGTGAAAATAGAAACACAGCCTATCAAAATGCATGAGTGCTGAAAGTAAAATTCATAATATTAAACACATACTTTAGAAAACAGGAAAAGCCTCAAGTCAATGATTTAAGCTTCCGCCTTAAGTGCTAAGGAGAAAAAGAGCAAAAGAAACCCAAAGCAAGCAGAAGGAAGGAAATAGTGATGATTAGAAGCAGAAATAAATTAAATTGAAAATAGAAAAATGAGAGAAAAATCAATGAAACAAAGAACTGGTTCTCTGAAAAGACTGATAAAATCAACAAACCTGCAACCAGAATAAGCTAGACAGTCATATTAAACATAAATAAATAAATAAGAATGTAAAAAAATCGACAAACCTCTAGCAAGACAAAAGAGCGAGCGAGCGAGCGCAAGAAGACAGAGATTATCAGTATCAGGGGTGGAGACTGGGAAGATCACGACAGACATCAAAATATAATAAGGCAGAACAGGAGTGGAGCAAGATGACCAAATAGAGGGCTCCACTGATCATCCCCCTTCACAAGAACACCAAATTTAACAACTATCTACATTTTTTAAAAACCTTCATAAGAACAACAACAAAAATCAGGTGAGCACTCACATCACCTGATTTTAACTTCATATCACTGAAAAAGACACTGAAGCAGGTAGGAAAGACAGTCTTGAATTGCCAATGCCACCCCTCCCCCACCCCTGGCAGCAGCCATGTGGCATGGAGAGACAATTTGTGCACTTGGGAGAGGGAAGCATGGCAACTGTGAGACTTGGCATTGAACTCAGTGCTGCCCTGTCACAGTGGAAAGCAAAATCAGGATGAACTCAGCTGATGCTTCTCCCACAGAGGGAGCATTTACACCCGCCCTTGCCAGAGAAGAACTGCCCACTCCAACAGTTGAACTTGCGTTTTGGCAAGCCTCACCACCATAGGCTAAAGGGCTCTGGGGCCCTAGATAAATTTAAAAGGCAGTTTAGGCCACGAGTACTGCAACTTCTAGGCAAGTGCTAATGCTGAGCTGGGCTTGGAGACAGTCAACTTGGAGGGCCAAACAATTTACTGGGACACAAGCTGGGGCAGCTAAGGGATTGTTTGTGCCACTCCTCCCACAACCCCAGGCAGCACAGCTTGTGGTTCTAAAATGGACCCCTTCCTTCTGCTTGAGAAGAGGAGAGGGACAAATAAAGAGGTCTTAGCATTATAGATACCAGCACAGCCACAGTAGGATAGGCAGAGTCATGAGGCCCCCATTCCAACCCCTAGCTCCCAGATGACATTTCTGGACACATCCAGGGCCAGAGGGAACCTGCTGCCTTGAAGGGAAGGACCCAGTCTTAGAAGGAGCCATCACTTGCTGACTAAAGAGCCTTTGGATCTGCAGAAATCTACCTGGTGTTGCACTGTGGCTGAGATGGCACTCAAACCATGAGATGTGATTCCCAGGTAGTACACCATGGACCTTGGCTGGGACTCAGACATGCTGGCTTCAGGTGAGATTCAAAACATTTCCAGCTGTGGTGGCTATGATGACAAAAACTCCTTTTGCTTGAAAAAAGCAGAGGGAAAGAAAAGGACTTTGTCTTGTACTCTAGCTACCACAACAGCCACAGGGAAGTAGAGCACCAAGTGGGCTCCTGGAGGTTTCCAATTCCAGGCCTTGCCTCTTGAACAGCATTTTTGGACCTGCCCTGGGCCAGAGGGAAGCCCACTGCCCTGAACAGTAAGTCCCAGGCCTGGAGCACTGACCACAAGCTAAGTGCAGAGCCTTTGGGAGCTTGAATGAACATTGTCGGTGGCTTGGCAGTACTCCCTGTGG